GCGCTGTAGGTTGGCCAGGTGCGTCTCGCCCTGCCGCAAGGGGCAGACATCACATCGCATTGTCGCGTTGCCGCCGTGGCATTTTGCTGGCGGAGCGGAGAGGTCGACCGTGGTCTGATCTCAAGACGCCGAAGAAGCTCGAGGCCAGGTTGATCCTGGAGCCTGCATGTTGCCACGATGCGGCGGCGACGTGTGCTTTTCATGTCGCATCCTGCTCCTCATCTGACCTGATCGGCTGCGGTGGACGGCCAAGGTATGGAGTTCGTGATCAAGCGCAGGGGTGACCGAGATGTCCAATCCGAGACCCGCTCTCTGTGACTGAGTCCACGGTGAATCCGCCGTTTGAGGTCCGAGCTCTTGGCAACCCCGTTACACCGCAAGGTGTCTCGGGGGTGGTCCCAGAGGAGGAAGAGGATTGGCCACGCGCAGGGGGGGCCATGGGGGAGGGGGGAAGGCTTCTTAGACTCACCCCTGCTTCCAATAAGGCGCGGGCCTTGTCTGTGGATGCAGGGCCGGCGCCTTCAAAAGCAGCCTCCTTCTAAGAAGCTTTCCCCCCTCTTGTCTTGACGTGGCAATCTCAAGGTGCAAACAAAAACAATTATAGACTGCGCTGAGACTAGTTTCGCCTGTGGGGCCCGTCAGTCCGCGAATGAGCCGCAGATGACAGCAGTGCGCGAGCGATCTACAATCAAGATGCGGTGGCAATATCATCTGGCTCCACGTGTCCTTGTGACACCCTGCCCGCCCAACGCTAGGTCAAGGGGAGAAAGCCTCCGAAATCTACTGGACTGCACGCGGTGTCTCTATGCGCGCCCATACCCCATACCCTCTGCGCGCAAGTGCCAAGGGCAACAGCAGCAGCAGCAGCAGCACGGCGAGGGAGAATCGGACGAGGAGGCTTCTGGCATCGCTCGGGCGTGTGCGTTTCTTCCCTCGGCGAGGGCCATCGAGGAGCACCCCGGACCCTCCCGCGAAGCAGCAGCGCACGACGCCGAGGCGAGCACGGGGAGCGGACGCCCGAGAGCGACGGCGAGGACTCGGGCCCAGACCCCCGACGTCATGAGTTTTTCAAGACGTCGACCCCCAGAGGTTTCGACCCCTTCCCCGGGACCGGCTTTTCATCCTGGGTCGTTTTTTGACGGTCCCGAGGCCCGGCAAGGACCCCCAGAGGCTGAAAATGACGAAAAGCCTCCCCTCGTGATTTCTTATTACAGTCGGGGCCCTGAAGAAGGAACCCTCTTCGTTGGGGAGGGGCTCCGCGTTCCTCAAGTGTTTCGCAGCCTGCCTCAGGCTTTCCGATGTTCTCGATCGGAAGTCGAAGTTTAACTCGTGGAACATAAGGGGCCTCGTTCCTTATGTAGGGTTCCTTAGGTCAACGCCCCGACTGTACCGACCCTGATCGAAAGGGCTAGGATTGGGGGGAGGAAGCGGAGGATGATGATGATGATGAGGAGGAGGAGGAGGAGAAGGAGGAGGAGCAGGAGGAGGAGGAGGAGCAGGAGGAGGAGGAGGAGGAGATTTTTGATTACTCGAGGGGGTCGGGGGGGAGGGGGGGCCGCCGACCCTCGGCGCCGGCCCCCTCTCCCGCAGCCGCCCGGCCTGTTCGGCGCCGCGGGCAGCGGGAGGCGGCGGCGTGCACGGCGCGGGCCGCGTCAGAGGTTCGAGGGCACGAGGAGGAGGAGGCGGAGGAGGAGGAGGAGGAGGAGGAGGCTCGAGTGCACGAGGAGGAGGAGGAGGAGGAGGAGGAGGAGGAGGAGGGAGGAGGAGGAGGCCTGAGGCCACGGCCGCCTGCATGCCCCGCTCCTCCCTCCTCTTCCTGGCCGATGGTTCTCGGGCTCCCCTCCCCTCCCCTCCCTCCCTCGTGTCTGTCTGTTGTCTGTCCAGCCTTTGCCAGTCACCTCGTCGCCACAGCCGGTGAACATGTCACCCACTTGGCTGTTTAGCTTGATCCCCCCCCCAGGGCCGACCGGTCTGGGAGGGGGAGGGCTACTTACATCCTGAGGATATTCGGAGTATCCTCAGGATGTAAGTAGCCCTCCCGTAGGTCGCGAGGCGGCGTCCGTCCACCCAGACCGACCGACGCGCCAAATCTCATTATGATTGCCACCCCTGGTCCCCGCAACAATGTGCAGTTTTGCTGCGTGTAGTTGCAGATGTGTTCGAATTCCAGCCGTCAGGATCGGGGGCATTGAGACGGGGGTCAATGCAAACGGGGGTCAGCCAGAGCGCCAGATCTTGCAGGATCTTGCAGGGCCAGGCTCCCATTGACCCGGGTTTGGGTGCGGGGTCCTGCAGGACCTTGCAGGATCCTTCGCATTGACCCGGGTTTGGGTGCAGGGTCTGGCAGGATCTTGCAGGATTCTGGAAGGCCTGGCTGGCCCGGGTCTGGATTGACCCGGGTCAGAAGATCCCCAACAGGAATGGAGGAGGCTTGAGACATGGGGGAACAGTCAAAGTTTGTCCACGCTAGCTGGCACATTGCCCACGGGTATCTGGCGCCTAAGATTGGTCCAGGAGCGATTCCAGTTGGGACCGTCTTGGGGCCACTGGGAGGTTCTCGGAGGCTGGTGTGGTGTGGTGTGTGTGTGTGCGTGTGTGTGTGTGTGTGTGTGTGTTCAGGCTACGTGTAGCTTCTAGGCCCATCAGATCATGTCATGGTGCCAACATGGCAGAGCGGATTTCGTTCGGAAAACACTAGGATGGGCCCGGAGTGTACTGGAGAATTTCGTTCCGGATTTCGAGGTGGATTTTTCGTGTGGATTTCTCTTGGCCAGGAATGAGAACTTCAAACACATCCACGCGAGATTCACTTCGCTTTTCACTCGCCGTTTCGGGGTTCAGCACTGGCTGAAATCCACGCAAAAGTCCGCTGCAGCACGTCTGCGAAATCGGTGCCGTGAATCATAGGCTGCCCAGACCCGCCGGGGGGCACCCCGATGCCTCCCGGGGCTCGTCGGAGGCCGACCGTGCGCGCACGCCCGAAGCAGCACACGTGAGAGAACGGCATGTCTCTCGCAGGGTTCCGACGTCGAGCTCGACTTCAAACCAAGCTTCGCTCGCGGCGGCGGCGAGCGCGCAACGCACGCCTGGCCCGAGCAGGACTTCAAACAACATGCAGCTCGTACAGCCAACCCGCACAGCAAGGCTGGGCAGCCTCTCCAAGGGCACCCCTGCATCCTTGCCTCCTCGGCCCACCCCTGGCCGCTCCCGCTGGCCGCGGCTCGCTCGAAAAGCTTCGAGATGGGCGTCCAAGGCACTTACATCCTGATCGCGCATCCTTGCTGTACAGTCAAAAACCCTAATAAGGACGCGCGGTAAGGACGCAAGACCCTTGGAAGCCGAAGTTGGGATTTCTGGAGCGGCGGACGACGAAAACCCCCAGGACGAGCAAGGAAGAGTAAGGAAGAGCAAGGAAGAGCAAGGGGTACCCTGAGCAAAGTCGCGCGTCCTTACTAGGGCTTTTGCCTGTTCGGGTTCCCTGTGAGTTTTGCCTCCCCGGCCGTGGCCTCCCCGCGGCCTCATTCTTCGGGAGGCTCTCGGGCCGCCGTGCGGCCCAGCGGTGCTGCCCTGGGCCGCACCGCTGCGCGACCCCCCCCCCCCAACCTGGGCCGGGCCGCACCTGCAGGCCCAGGACTGGCGCGCGCCCACTTCCGCAGGCCTCCTCCTCCTCCTCCTCCTCCTCCTCCTCCTCCTCCTCCTCCTCCCTCCTCCTCCCTCCTCCTCCTCCTCCCTCCTCCTCCTCCTCCTCCTCCTCCTCCTCCTCCTCCTCCTCCTCCTCCTCCTCCTCCTCCTAGGAGGTTGGCACCAACACCAAGATCGGCGGTGTGCCCCACCGAGGGAAGACGATCCCGATCTCGGTGACGGTGGTGATATTCTGGCTTCCAAGGTGCCCGACATATTGCCATCAACACCGACATCCAGGGTCGTCTTCCCCATGTGGAGGCGCCGTTTCGATGGATTGTCGAGGCCTGAACCTGCAACAGGTGAGTCACAAGACGGCGTGTTTCTCGAGGTGCAGAAGCCCATGTGGATTTCACCCTGAACCCTCCACTTTAAGAAAATGCTCAGGTCGGGGGTGGACAGAACCCCCAACAGTGACACGTCGATCAGTGAATTCTCCGTTGTTCGGTTCTCGAGAGGGCGCCGCGGCCGTCATTTTCCAGGCTGGCGCCCGCCAGGTTTGGGCCTCAGGTCGTTTTCACGAAACCACGTTTTGCTAAAGGGGGGCCTGTCCCTCCTCTTCCTCCTCCTCCATCTCCTCCTCCTCCTCCTCCTCCTCCTTTTCCTCCTCCTCCTCCTCCTCCTCCTCCCTCCTCCTCCTCCTCCTCCTCCTCCTCCTCCTCCTCCTCCTCCTCCTCCTCCTCCTCCTCCTCCTCCAGGCAGGGGACGAGGAGGACGACCGGGGAGGACGACGACGAAGTGGGCCGCGGAGGAGCGGCAGAGAGGCAGCCGGAGTATAGGGCAGGAGGCGCGGCGCTCCGGCCGGCAGGGGCAGGGGTGGACCACCGAGCGGTGTTCGGGGGCCCCCAAACGGGGTGGTGACCACACCGTGTGGTGAGTCGGTGGGGATTCGGGGTGACCACGCGGTTTTGGGACTCGGGTCGTTCTCCGAGGACGTCTCGGGCGACTGGAGCCTCCAGGGTCCCAAGACCGTGTGGTGACGGGCCGTGCGGTGAGGTCTCCTGGGGTTCCGAGGTCACCGCACGGTCTGTCCCCGCACGGTCTTGGGATCCCCAAGGTGTTCGGGCGACTTTTCGGGGGCCGTGCTCGTGCCGATGTCGTCTGGCAGCAGAGGCGGAGCGACGACAGAGCCGGGGTCAAGTCGGGCCTGCCCCTCTCCAGGGGGAGCATTCGAAAGTAGTTCCAAAATAGTCTGGGACGATTTTTTGATCAGTTTCGAGCACGTGGGGAGTATTCTTTAGTATTTTTACTTTTTCGCCCAAAATCCCCCTGTAGGGGGGCAGGCCCGACCTAAAACTGGGGAAGACGAAGCCAGAACGGAAACGAAGAGCACAGCTGAGGTCGATCCCTGCTGCAGCGGAGCACAGCGGCGCCCTCCGCCCCGAATGGGCACGTCTCTCTCCCTTTGTTTTTGTTGTTTTTCTCTCTCTCTCTCTCGCGCGCGCGCCCTCCCAGGCGAGAGGTCCATCGAGGAGGAGGAGCGCATCGGGTGCGCTGGCCGTCGTCGTTGTACAGTCGTCTTTGTCTCTTCGGCGTCCCGGGACCTTTTTTCGGCGGCGAGCGAGGGGGGGAAGCGAGAAGGAGAGGGCCTCCTCAGAAGGCGGCGGGACTCTTAGAAACCCGCGCGTCTTCTGATAAGTTTTCTGTGTCTTCGGTCTTCGAGGAAGGCATAGGGAACTTCTCAGAGGGCTGGGGGACTTCCAAGCCTCATGAGGAGGCCTGCCCCTTCTTACTTCACCCCCGGGCTTGCCGCCGATTTGGGCAAATTCTCGGAGGATAAAACGCTTTACCGGAGGGGGGGGGTCGGGGATGGGGAGGGCAGTGACGCGCCGCGAATGCGCCGGCGGCGTCTGGGAACTGGGGGCCCCTGGCTATGCGTGACGCTACTCGGGCGAGCGGCAGGCCCATAAAGGGATATAGTCGTTAAGGGACATGAAGAGAGAGAGAGTGAGAGAGAGAGAGAGAAAAAAAAGAGAGAGAGAGAGAGAGAGAGAGATAAAGAGAAAAAAGAGGAAAGAGTGAGAGGGAGAGAGTCACCACCCACCAAACCACCCCAACTCAACCCGAAGGCCCCAATTCGCCCTCCAATCCCGGAGGGGGGCGTCGGGGAACATTGACAAAAACACATGTGGAACCCGTACCCCCCCCCAACCGGAGATTTCGGTCCGCGGGTTGGGTTGGGGTGGTCTGGCAGGTAGTCTTAAGTCGGGCATGTGGGACTGTGTTTTTTTGTGCCATTGTTGAGCATCGTTTGATTACTTCTTTTTTTCGTTCAAAATCCGCCTAGAGGGGGACACGCCCGACCTAAAGGTAGTCAGAGATAGACAGGGATAACTCTGTGAGCACGTGCATTCGACGCCGTGCCTGCTGGCCTTTCCCCCAAGGAGGAGGACGAGGAGGAGGCCGACGAATTCCACGACCAGGCGTCGGCGGGTGCCTGCGCGATCCTGCAAGACCAGATCATCTTGACCACGTCGAACCCGTTCGAGCGCCTGGCTCACTCGTACGCGCTCGCCCAGTCGGTGCCTCGCCGGGCGGCCGGGCCAACAGGAGGAGCGCCAGATCTGGGCTTACGCAATGCAGTTGGCAAGCTTCGAAGGGGCTCCCCCCTAACAAGCAGAGGCGAAGCGTCCTGGCTCGCCTATAGCCCTACGAAACAATGTTCTAAGAACCTTGTCTGTGGTTCCCCGAAATGTTCTTAGAACATTTCTGGCGGATATTGTCTTGTTTTAACACATCGTGTTTATGTTCTAAGAACATTGCTTTCGTTCTTAGAACATTTTTGGGTTCTAAAAAACATTTCGTGGTATGACTATAGGAATGCCGGGGCGGTCGGTCCCTGTTCAACCCTATGTCTATCGCCTTTGGGCCGATTTTGGCATGCTCTTAGTTGCTGTGCATCTCTATGGGCCCGTGACCTGCGGCCCAGATCATTGCGGCCATGTGAGCGACGGAAGGAAGCCGGGTCGATTGCGCGGACATTCGCACGTCATCTGCCCGCGCGCCCTCGTTTCCTAGGTAGCGTGCCGCGCTGGCGGCCGCGTAAGCCACTGCGTGAGGCGTAAGACCTGTTCCCTTTCGTCGCTCATGTGCCGATTGTCGGGGAAGTTCGGTACGACCGAAACGGGGACGGGAAAAACGGGGACGAATATTTACAGCATCTTCTACTCACTTTCAATACGGTTCGCTGTCCGTGTCGCTGCGGACGTCGTCCCTTTGGTGCAAATGCGCCTGCCCAACGGCAGCCGCTGTCGGTTGTGGATAACATGTTCCTTTGGGCATCGCCCCTCAATTTTTCCCCATGAGCGCTGACAGGGGTCGGCCAGTCCCCTCTGGCTGACCCTGGCTTCGGAGCCGCGCAGGGCCGACACCCGATGTTGAGCGATTCTCCGATCCCATCTGCTCGAAGCCCCGTCGCGAGGCCTCCACCCCAGCACTGGCCTGCGGGCTTGGATTTGGCCTCCCTGCGGCCCCCGAAAGCTGCAGACCACATGTGAGTCTCGCCCAGGGCCTCTCTTGCGTGCAACTGGCAGGTACGGCTGAGCGTGTTCGAGGTGTCCGTCGACAGGTCTCGGGGGAGAGGAGGAGCAGAAGAGGACGGTCAGTGGAGGAAGAGATACCGATACCCGATATTGGTGCCAGTTTCTCGCCGCCAGGGCTTGACTAGCCTCGAAATCCTGTCCAGAACTCGCCCCAGGAGAGCGCCCTGGAGGAGCGGTATCGAGCGAGTGCCCATTCTTCTTCTGCAACGCATCGAAGCGAGCCAATTCTTCGTGCCGCAAGTTGAAGGGTGAGATCGGAAAGTGCAGGGAAGGATGGGCAGTCTATCTCCGTCTCCAAAATGTTGGTCATCCTTGTTTCGTCGTCCGTTCCTGATTGTTCTGGCTCCCCAGGTCAATCGAAGAGACACGAAGCGTGCCAGAAACGATGGCAAGAACTGGAGACGTCCACCTCGACCATACGCAGCTTTCAAAGCGCATGGGCAATATCCTCATGCTAAGGTGCGACGTGAACCTTCACACGGACATTCTCGATACACCAGACATTTTCTGGGACGAGGACAAGTTTGAACCCCATTACGTTGCATGCCGCAATTATATGGACATTGACAAACGGGTCGAGATTTTGAATCAGCGGCTTGGGGTGTTGAAGGATTTGTACGACCTTTTGCAGAACAGTCTGAACGTGAAGCATGGAAATAAGCTGGAGTGGATTATCATAATTCTAATATTGCTGGAAGTGGTCCTAGAAGTGTTAGAGCTGGTCCACGATGCATACGCAGGATGAGAAGCCTGGAGCGACGTTGGACTAAAATCATCTGTCGCTGTTGGCAGTCATCGTGTAAAGGCCGTTGGCACGAATTGGCAATGCAGGTTCACCACCACACCCGAATCTACGCCAAGTGCAGTCTTGACACCCCCTCTTGCCACAGGTGAACAGGTGGGACCAGCATTTGTGGTCGAATCGTTTCAATCTCATCGGAATCATCGGTGGAGGACTCAGCACTCTCAGCTGAGCCTTGCTTGTTCTGTGAATATAACCGGTCCTGAAGATACGCACTTGGGGGGTGGGGGGCGTTGCATCATCATCATCATCATCATCATCATCATCATCACCATCATCATCATCATCATAACCATCATCAACATCATCAACAACAGCATCACCATCATCATCATCATCATCATCATCATCATCATCATCATCATTGAGATCATCACCACCATCAGTATGCGTAGACTCTGACATCATCATCACAATCGTCAGCACGCCATTACCAACATCTTTATCATCATTATCAGCAGCATCACCATCATCATCATTAAGATCATCATCACCACCATCATCATACTTATAATCATAATCACAAAATGTATCATCATCACAATCGTCATCAGATCCATCATCGCCATCATCTTCATCATCACCATCAGCATCACCATGACCAGCATCATCAGCATCAGCATCAGCATCAGGAGGAACTCCGTGGGCAAGGACATCGACCATCCGTCCGCCGTGGGCCTTGCCAGTCGGTCTCAGCAGGGAGGGCGGCGGGGCGAGCGTCGCGGCACCTCACCGGGTCGCCACGAGGCACGAGGGTGGACGAGGAGGAAGAGGAGGACGAGGAGGAGGAGGACGAGGAGGAGGAGAAAGAGGAGGAGGAGGAGGAGGAGGAGGAGGAGAGGAGGAGGAGGAGGGAGGAGGAGGACCCCACCGCTCGCGGGGCCTCGCTGGGGGCTCGCAGGGGGGGGGGGGCCACGGGGCCGGCGCCGCAGCGCCTCCCCCCGGGACGCCGGGCGCAGCAGCGCGCGCGTGTGCGGGGGCGCCGGCCGCCCCGCCGCCGCGGGGCTCGCAGGCAGCAGGCCCTTGGAAGCGGCCTTCGAAGATTGAATTAGCATCGCCTCCTCCTCCTCCTCCTCCTCCCTCCTCCTCCTCCCTCCTCCTCCTCCTCCTTCTCCTCCTCCTCCTCCTCCTCTTTCAAAGGCCCTTGGAAGCGGCCTTTGAATCTTGCGTTTGCCTCGTGGTTGTGCCCTGCGTCTGCGGTTGAGAGGTAAGACCTTCTGCAGCACGTGCTTCTGGGCCTCGTAGATGGGGTCGAGGTAGATGGGGGCGGAGGATCGCTCCGCATCGCCGACGTCGCCCGTGTATCGGCGACGTATTGGCGATGCGGCGAGATCCTCCGACCCCATCTACTCGGACCCCATCTAGGATCCGAGGCCTCTAGTTCTGTCGTCGAACGCTTGGCTGGCTACGCGCCACACCTGCCCTTCTCCCCTGGTCACGCGCGGGGGCGGCTCCACGAGCCCAGGCCGCACCAGAGGATCCGCCTTTTGTCATTCCAGGCTGGCCAGCAGCAGCAGAGAGGTCGAAAGCTGGTTTCGGGCGGAACGAAAGGGGGGGATAGGGGAAGGGGGGGTACGAAATCTGCTGCATGCCGCTGGTTTCGGCCCCGCCGCTGGGCCCATCCCTCGATACATGGGCGCCTCCCGGCGCCAGGAGGCGCCTGGAAAATCAGCTACGTGAGCTGATTCTCAACCCCCCCCTTTGCTATGCTCCCCTTTCGCCCGCCCCGATGGTTAACTCGAGGAAACACAAACATGGATTAAGGCACGTGGATGAGCCACCAGTCCCGCTTCCATGCAAGATCGGCGCGCTCCGCCACCAAATCGGGGGTGCCTTCGCCGATCCATGGATCTGGCGACCGCGCACCAAATCCACGTGTCCCTGATCCGTGTTAGCGTGCGCCCGATTGACGGCAGACGAGCAGACATGCTCCCTGGGGCGCCCCAGGCCCTGAGAAGCATCAGCGGCGTCAAGCACATGGCGGGGGCTTGGGGGAGGGGGCTTCGGTGGCGCCTACTCTCCTTCTTTATTTCCTCGCATCCTCTCGGCCTTACTTCTTCTCCGTAGGCGCCGCCCTAGCCCTGTTTGGTCTCTTTCTGTTCCTAGAGTGGATTCGGGACATTTCAGTGCATCAGTGCATCAGAGCAGACGTGCTGAGTTGGCCCTCGGCAGGCTGTGAACCAAGAAATGGCACCATCATGGCGCCAACGAGGTTACTGAGCCTTGAGGCGCTTGGCCTCTTGCCAGCTGGGTGCGTTGTGCACGCGTTTGTCTTCAGCGCGCAGGTCAGCATCGTCATCGGCGCCACCTGGCAGCGCCTCCATGCCGCATTGCCGGAGGCAGTCGCAGAGCTCCCCGGCGGCCGCAGCGCCCGTGGACTCGTCGTCGTCGGCCACGCCTGCCGCCGCGAGCCTCGTCGGCCTCGGCCTCTGCTGCAGCCTGCTGAGCAGCCAGGTCCTGCTCTGCTCGGAGACGCTTGGCCTCCTGGACCTTGGCCTCCTCGGCTTGCAGCTCCTGCGCCACGCCGCGAGCCTTCTGCTGCAGTCCAGTGGCGAGCCCCCTCTTGCCGAGGACCTGGGCCATCTTCGGGATGCTCCAGCGGCCATCGGCAGCATCGCCAGTAGCAGGAGGCCCAGCTGGTGGTGCCGACGTGGAGGCGGCGGCACAGGGCGCGGCGCGCTCGGCCTGAAGCTCTACAAGCGTGACGCGCGATACCTGGATGTGCTTCTCCCCCTCCTCGGGCTCTTTGCTGAAGCTCAGAAGTCTCTTGGCGCGTCGTGTCCTGCGAGGCCTGCTGGCGCTGTAGTTGGAGCCCCAGCTTGCCGATGCGCTGCCCAATCTCCTGGAGCTTGACCCCGTCGCATTTGGCTTCGAAGAAGGTGCCGCGGAGGGTCTCGCGCTCGGCCTCGTATCCTTGGAGAACCTTCTCGATCTTGTCCGCGGCGGAACGGATGGCGGCGAGGCCCTTGATGGGCCCGTCAAGCTCGGCCACCGTTTTCTTCGTGTCCGAGACCACTTCGACCGCCAACGCATCCATATCCTGCGCCAACGGCTGGGCCTTGGCATGCTTGAGTTGACTGATAAGACTGGCCGCGCGCTTCTCCATCGCGGTCACGGGCACGACCTGCCAAGCTCGTCGAAGGCTGCCTCGGCTTGACTAGTCCACCATGCACTTTGCGCAGTTGGAGGCCAGCTTGTCCGCGAAGTTGGCATGCGGTTTGTGGTCCCTGCCCAGGCAGGATTTGCATACCCATTTCTGACGATTGGTTGCCCGACTGTCTGTACCATTTTCTGAAGGTGCGCCTGACGGCTGCGGCGCCATGGCTCATCTACCTCAGACTCGGGAGCTGTGCCCTTTGGAGAAGCAGAATGACGGCCAGGCAGTCCGCTGAAGAGACAATCTTGATTGTAGACTGGGCTCTGGAGCGCCCCGTCGAGACTTACACCCTCCGGGGTGGTGCCATGGCCGTGAGCCAAAATGGCTGCGGATGTGTGTGTGTGTGTGTGGGTGTGGGCGTGTGTGTGTGAGAGAGAGTGATTCCGTTTCAGTTCACCTTGAGTCGAGCTCGCCGTGACGTGTTTCTCGGTTTGTGGCCGCTGCACGTTCGCTGGGCTACAGTCCCTCCTACTTATCAACCACCACTTTCTGCACGTCAGTAATTCGCGCTTCTTTCATTGCGGGTTCGACGATGCTCGATCGCACGTCAGCACCTCCATCTGCTGCTCGCGCTTGAGGACCCTCTGCGCCGCTGACTCAGAAGAAAAAGTGTGTGTGTGTGTGTGTGCGCGGGTGCTGTGAGTGTCGCGCCGCCGCGCGCGCGCGGCCGCGACGCCAACCGCAGACGGAACAGGTGCAGACGCCGTGACCGTAGACTGTGAGCGAGGATGCAGCGTGTTGCCAGGTCCTCCTGCCCCGATCGACGAAACGCAAGCGTGGATTCGCGACGCGTGCGTTGGCGACGGGTCCCGTCTCGTGCGTCATCGGCGCGCTCCGTCGCCCTTCCAGCGGCATCGGCGGCATGCTTCGGGGGCGCCTTCTCTGATCCATGGATCCCACGCTCAGGCGCTAGATCCACGGATCCCTCATCCATCCTGGCGCGCGCGCCCGACCCGAGGGGGGTTGCCACTCCGCGCGCGCGGCCGGCGCAGGCGGGGAGTACGTGGACGACCTCCACGAGGGCTGCGACAGGCCTTTCCGGGCCCTTCCGCGCCGCGGAGCCTTGTCTGTCGAGCCCTTGCCCACGTCGAGAGCGGAGAGTTGGAGCCGTCTGGGGGCCCGGCGTGGCCCAGCACTCGCTTTGGCCAGCAGGAAGACGACTCCCCCTCCAGACGTTTCCGAGTGATTTCTCGCGTGTTCTGTTCTTCTTGCTTGTTTTTGTTTGTTCGTTTTGTTGGTTGTTGCTTTTTGTTGTTTGGTTCTTTGCGGTTGGATTGGAATCGGAGCAATAATAATCATCATGTGCATCGACCGCGCATGCGAAGAAGACGCCGCAATTGAAATCAATGTGTAAGCCGCGCACAAAAAAATCGAGTGTAAAGCCTGATGCAAGAGTTGGATTTATCATCGACACCATATGAAATCAATGTGTGCGCAAATCGCCAACACAAAATTCGTTTTGGAGAGGCAACCAGACATATTTAAGAAACCCCGAGAGAGCAATCAACAAAACATCGAGGCCGCCGATGTTTTTTGGGGAGGCCCGACAAAAAACAAACACGGCCTCGATTGTTTGTTTCCTCTGGGGGTCCAAAGTTTTCCTGGCGATCCTTCCAAACGGAGTTCCCTCTGAAAAAATAGCACTCACATTCTCCATCAAAAGATTTCCACTGCAATCCTCGCAATAAAGAATATGACTGCTGATGTAGTTCCTGAATAAAAAATGCATGGTGATTTTCTCCTTTGCTACGCAAGCGATGTGACAACGCAATCAGAACACCCAGCACCACGACGCACAATTGGAAGATGGTTGCTGCCGAATCAATTATATCACGAATGATCATTGTCTAGTCCTTGCTTTAGTAGTAGTACTGTGAAACTGTAGTAGAAATTCGTAGAAGGTGCCCACTATTGTCCTACCCGGGTGCAGTAAGAGCCTCCTCGAATTGTAGCGCTGTAGTAGTAGAATTGTACGAGTACCGTTGCACGTGTGTAGTAGTGGCACTGTTGAAGCAGTCGTCGAGTACAGCATTCGTAAGAATACGATTACATACCGT